ATCAGTGCTTCTTTCCCTTTATGTGCCAGGTTTCAGAATATTGAGTTGGCCCTACCCTCTTAGACTTAACTTCATCCTCACTACAGCCCTGATTATCCTGACTTTCCAGCCGAGGACCTCGAGACTGCGAGAGGTCAGGAGACGTACTTGAGGTCAGGCAATAAGGGGTGGACCTGGGATGCCCACTTGAGTCTGCCCATCCCTAAAGCCAGTGATCTTTCCACAAAGGAGCCACAGCATCTTCTCTATCTGTGGCTTATGGAAACACTTGGTAAACCAGAAAGGCGAAGCTTTGACATTTTAACTAGTAGCATCTGAGGCTTCCTTGAGGCTGCTGTAGTTTCACTGTGTCTTGACTTCACAACCAAACAGGAAGATGCTGTGTATCTTCACAGCCCCTGCCTCCTGGTGCAGGAATGAACCATGGGCCTGCCCTCCACTTTCTTGTCAAATTCTCCCTGTAGGAGCCTATACCCTCTAACAGCTTTACTCTCCAGCTCTGCACCCTCTAACAGCTTTAACTACTCCCCAGCTTTGCACCCTGATGACTGCAAGTTGTCATTGCCAGCCCTGATCAATTTTGAGTACTGGCCTTTAATGTATACTCAGGCCTATTAGATCAGCCTTCAACAGGCATCCCAGACTACCACGAAAAAGCTATGCCCATGGCCCCACTGCCCAAACTGCCCTTCCTCTTCTAGCCCCATTGTCTTAGGTCCTGGCATCACTGTTCCTTGGAATCCCCAGCTAGAAACACAGCCATCTTGGACTTTCCATCCTTACTTACTCCTCCACCCCCATGTTGCAGGCTGAAGCGGATGTGGAGATGAAACTTTGGGTGCAACATGTTTATTAAGGATCAACATCTGTGGTCGGGTGTGGTGGCTCACACCTGTAATCCCAGCACTTTGGGAGGCCAAGGTGGGTGGATCACCTGAAATTGGGAGGTCAAGACCAGCCCGGCCAACATGGAGAAACCTGGTCTCTACTAAAAATACAAAAAAAGTTAGCCAGGCGTGGTGGCACATGCCTGTAATCCCAGCTACTCAGAAGGCCGAAGCAGGAGAATGAAAAAGTAGAGAATAACTGTAAGTAAATATACATTGGAAAAGTGATTTAAGTATACATTTTAAAAATAAGGAGAGTCACAATTAGCAAAGTAAAGTAGACTGAAAGGAGAGGCAGATGTGTTTTTCCAAAGAAGGAGTCTATTCTGTTCAGTTTCTACTTTATGAGACATCTAATTTTTGGTGATGGGGTGGGGATGCATTTCCAATGCCACTCCCCAAGAGGGTCCCTCTCCACACCTCCAGGCCATTGCTCAGGCTGTGCTCTTGGCTTGGACCACCCTTTCCCCACTTCTGTCTCTGTGAGCTTCCTCCCCATTCTTTCTTCCCTCCGTCAGGAAGAAATCCCATAGCTGCTTGCACGCATCCATTACCACACGGACTGCACTAAATAACAGTTATTGGTGTGCAAGCCCCTCTTCCCTACTAGACCCTAAGCTTGGGGAAGGGGAGGGAACTGTGGACTCTCATCTCTGTACCCACTCCTGGCAGACCACCTGACACAAAATCACCGCCGGTGAAGTATTCACCAGTGAGTTGAGCCATTGTACTTACATAGCACCCATCCATGGCAGCTTGTCTGACTTGGAATTTCACCCTGTATTTTCCAAAGAAAAGAAATGAGTACTGGATTTGCGAGATCTAGTTCAACATTTCAATTTTATTGTACTTAAGAACTTTTTTGTCTCAGAAAAAAATTACAAAATTCATTTTATAAAATTCATCCAGAGAAATGATTTCAGTCCCATGTGGTACAAAATACCTTTCCCAAATGGAATAGATGAGTTTATTTAAAAGCCTCTTTTTTCTTTTATTTTTATAACTTTACTTTTAGCTTTTTAACAGACTTTCTATTTTAGAACAGTTTTAGGTTTAGAGAAAAATTGAGCAGATAGCACAGAGAGCTCCCATGTACTCTTCACCACAGTTTCCCCAATTATTAACATCTGGCGTGAGTGTGGTACATTTGATACAACTGATGAACCAATATTGACACATTCCTATTAACTGAAGTCTGTAGCTCACATTAGGGTTCATGCTTTGTGCTGTACATGCTATGGGTTTTTTGTTTTTGTTTTTTTGTTGTTGTTGTTTTTTGTTTTTTGGTGTTTTTTTGAGACGGAGTTTCGCTCTTGTTACCCAGGCTGGAGTGCAATGGCGCGATCTTGGCTCACCGCAACCTCCGCCTCCTGGGTTCAGGCAATTCTCCTGCCTCAGCCTCCTGAGTAGCTGGGACTACAGACACGCGCCACCATGCCCAGCTAATTTTTTGTAGTTTTAGTAGAGACGGGGTTTCACCATGTTGACCAGGATGGTCTCGATCTCTTGACCTCGTGATCCACCCGCCTCGGCCTCCCAAAGTGCTGGGATTACAGGCTTGAGCCACTGCGCCCAGCCCTGTTTTTGTTTATTGAGACAGAGTCTTGCTCTGTCGCCCATACTGGTTTGCAGTGGTGCAATCTCATCTCACTGCAAGCCCTGCCTCCCAGCTTCAAGCAGTTCTCTTGCTTCAGCCTCCCCAAGTAGCTAGGACTACAGATGTGCACCACCATGCCCAGATAATTTTTTGTATCTTTTGTACAGATGGGGTGTCACCATATTGACCAGGCTGGTCTCAAACTCCTGACCTTGTGATCCACCCACCTCAGCCTCCCACAGTACTGGGATTACAGGCGTGCGCCACCGCACCTGGCCACATGCTGTAGGTTTTGAGCAGTGTCATGTATCCACCATCACAGTGTCACACAGAACAGTTTCACAGCCCTAACATCTCCTGCACTCCACCTCCTCATCCCTCCCTCCCTCTCAGTCCCTGCAGCCCCTGGCAATCACTGATCTTTTCACTGTCTTTGTAGTTTTGCCTATTCCAGAATGTCACATCCTTCCAGTTTTCAGTAAGTAACACTCTTACACATTTCAAAAGTTAAAACAGTATGAAAAGGTACCACTGAGAACTCTTTCCCACCCCATCCCAGTCTTCCTGTTCCCCATTATCCTACTACCCCAGGGAAACCACTTGTATTAGCCTTTGTCTAGCTTTTATTTATGCAAATATATTTTCTCATTTCCTTTCTTTCTTACACAATTAACAGCATATTATTAGTAGTATACTATATGCATTGATCTGTATCTTTTTTTTTTTTTTTTGAAATGGAGTCTCACTCTGTCACCCAGGCTGGAGTGCAGTGGTGCCATTCTCGGCTCACTGCAACCTCCGCCTCCCAGGTTGGAGCAATTCTCCTGCCTCAGTCTCCCAAGTAGCTGGGACTACAGGCGCCTGCCACCATGACCAGCTAATTTTTTGTATTTTTTTTTTTTAAGACAGAGTTTCGCTCTTGTTGCCCAGGCTGGAGTGCAATGGTATGATCTCAGCTCACCGCAACCTCCACCTCCCGAGTTCAAGCTATTCTCCTAGCTCAGCCTCCCAAGTAGCTGGGATTATAGGCATGTGCCACCTCGCCTGGCTAATGTGTTTTTAGTAGAGATGGGGTTTCTCCACGTTGGTCAGGCTAGTCTCGAACTCCCGGCCTCAGGTGATCCACCCGCTTTGGCCTTCCAAAATACTGGGATTACAGACGTGAGCCGCCATGCCTGGCCAATTTTTTGTATTTTTAGTAGACAGGGGTTTCACCATGTTAGCCAGCAGGATGGTCTCAATCTCCTGACCTTGTGATCTGCCCACCTCGGCCTCCCAAAGTGCTAGGATTACAGGTGTGAGTCACCATGCCCAGCCCCTATATCTTCTTTTTTTTTTTAAATTGTAATTATTCTTTTAATAAAATTCTTCACTGAGAGCAGGGAGGTCGCTTTACTTTTCCAGAAGTCACACAATACATGGTAGTATCAAAGAAATATCTGCTGAGAGAAATACTATTTTGGGAAATAGTTAATAATTTTACAATACACAGTAGAAGCAGACACATGAACAACTACAATGTGGGATACAAGTTTTGTCAAATAATCAGGAGAAAAAAGAATAAAAATTGCACTGGCAAATGGTTGTCCAAATTTTCCAAGTCCAATTTTATAGTGCTGTGAAGAAAAGTATAAATATGAGACTCTCAGTAAACATTTGTACATCCGTGAACATTTATTTAGGTTTAAAGATAAAATTTTGGAAAACTAAAAATAATTTTTGTAATTTCAAAGTAAAATAATCTTTGAGAAAACACATTGTAATTGTGATAAACTATAGCATTTATTCATATGTATAAGGTAAAAACACACATTATTCTCTTGTTACTTAAGGTGGGAGGAGGAATAATTGTGAAATTATGTTTCAATTTTCCAGCCTGGCCAACATGGCAAAACCCTATCTCTGATACATATACAAAAATTAGCCAGATGTGATGGTGTGCCCCGTAATCCCAGCTACTCAGGAGGCTGAGGCACAAGAATCACTTGAACCCGGGAGGCGGAGGTTGAAGTGAGCTAAGATCTCGACACTGTACTCCAGCCTGGGTGAGAGAGCAAGACGTGGTCTCGAAAAACAAAACAAAACAATTTTCATGCTTAAAGTGTAGCTCAGAAGGATTTAGAGTAAGAGCATATATTTTGCTCACAGCATATATGTTAGGAAACAAAAGATGCTAATTAAATATAAATTAGCGGTAAAGTTGTCTATTTTTTCCCCTATCATGTCTCATGAGGTAATAGATCACAAATATGTTTTAGAATTTTTCTTAAGTTTTAAGAATCCAAAAGATGGCCAAGTGCAGTGGCTCACACCTGTAATCGCAGCACTTTGGGAGGCCAAGGCAGGTGGACCACCTGAGGTCAGGAGTTCAAGACCAGCCTGGCCAACATGGTGAAACCCTATCTCTACTGAAAATACAAAATCAGCCGGGCATGGTAGCGCATGCCTTTAATCCCAGCTACTCAGGAGGCTGAGGCAGGAGGATCGCCTGAGCCCAGGAGGCAGAAGTTGCAGTGAGCCGAGATTGCACCACTGTACGCCAGCCTGGCGACAGAGTGAGACTCCTTCTCAAAAAAAAAAAAAAGAAGTGAGCCAAGAGCTCCAAAGGACCATACCTGTGTGATGGGATTACCCACGAAACCTGAAACAGCCCCTGGACCCATCCTCATGAAAAATATTACTATACAAAACATTTGCCTGCTTGGCTCTGCATGACTGTGCATTTCAGTAGAATCAGTTGGAGGTCTGTTAACAGTGATTTTTTTTAAAAGCTCTTAAATGGTGGTCATCTTCTGTTCACATGGCTCCACACTCTGAAGTCCCACATCCCTGAAGGTCCGGCCCCTCTGGTTACATGGCTGTGCACCTCTTGGGGGCACTCGGGGCCGCGTTTACTTTCTTCCTGATGTTTTCTGTTAAAAACAAGAATCTTATTGCCTCTGTCACCTAAGCTCTGCCTCACAGGGCTGGTTTTATGTTTTAATTGCCTGCCAGATTTTGTGTTAAAAGAAGATGCAACAACTATATTTAAGAACATTTTGGGAAAAGAAAGGTAGCGTCCCTAATCCCTCTACCCTGAAATGACTCTTAGCTTTTCCACCTTGCCTACAGTAGTTGCAGGGTGGTGGGCGGGGAGGGGGGTTCCTTTTTTCCCTCAATAATATGCTAGAAATATTTCCCTCAGTAATATGCTAGAAATATGTCAGAAATGGTTTTCTTTGTTGCTTCATAACTAATGGAGCCTTCACAACTATCAGTGACTGCCTGGTAGCCCTTCTGTGGTTGCCCCATTATGTACTATGTCAATGGATATCACAGCGTTTAAGGCTTTTTCATCACGAACTGATTTTGTTTTTAGCAAGGGCTTAGTACTAGAACCTTCTATCATGCTTGTCTGATGGTTCCACAGAACACTCTGAATCCCAAATCAGGCTTTTGGGATTGGCATACTCAAATAAGTTTTAATGACCTCAGGAGGTTTATTTGACCAGATTTGACTGGTTCAACTCATGTTAAGTCAGTTTTGGCTCCTATGTCTTGATGTTTGTGAAAAAGAAGTCTGAAGATAGTTCCAGGCTTATTCCAAAATGGAAAAAAAATATCGAGGTATAGAAGGCTAGTAAGGAAGAGATTATGGATAGCCATCACTGGTTCAGGGGCTGTGACGGTCATAGGGTTCAGTTTGGGTCAACACCCTCATTGCACAAATGGGGAAACCAGAGCCAGGAGGCACTGTCACTTGCCCAAGGGAAAAGAGGGCAGGGCTCGGAGGAGGAATCTGGAAGGCCCAGAGCCAGCATCACAGCATGCTTGTCTGAGCAGCCCTTGGAGGGCCCTGCTGCATTCCAGTGGGGGCCAGCCAGCTCCTGAGAAGAAGCCCAGCAGAGTACACTCTTACCAGCCAGGCTCCTCCTGCCAATGGCCACAAGGCCCTCGAACAGCGCTTTGCTGGGGTTCTCACCAGCTGTGGCCACGCCATGCAGCCAAATGAGCAGCATTCGGTGGCCATGCTCCTGGTAGCTCCTGGTGCCTGAGGACAATGAGGAAGGAGAGAGAGAGGGGGAGATGGAGCCCATGGGGCCCCTTAACCAGAGCGCCTGTCTATGCCACCCTGTACCACCTCCTGAGCATGCCCAGGTGGGACAGGGGCCAAAAGCCTCCAAGGCCCTTCTCCATGCTCCAGCCAAGCTCAGCCTGGAGATGGGTAAGGGGAGTGGAGGAGCAGCTTCTCAGATAGGGTGGGAAGGGTTTGTGTCTTGGTCCCTAGAACCTCCCCAGCCACAGGCCTTCTCCTGAACACCCACTATACACTCTGTGGGTGTTACTCTGAATGAAGAAAGAACTGACATTCATTGCTGTGACAGCACAAATTGTACACTTCACCTCTCTGGCTGCTCAAAATAATCTGTGCCCTGCATGCTAGTGGCCTAATTTACAGATGAGAATACAGCTTAGTCAGAGACAGAGCTGGCTGCACCAATGGTTCTCAGACTCAGCTACTCCTTGGAAACATCCAGGGCCCATGTCATTCCCAGAGATTCTGATGTACCTGGGTCTGGGTGCAGCCTAGGCATTTAACAGTTTTAAAGCTTCCCAGATGGTTCCAACATACAACCATGTTTAGAAAATAACTGCCCACACTATTCAGTGCTGACATGGGGTTAACATGGTATTAAATCCTGTGATTCAGCTGGCTCTCCTGTGTTGGGGGAACAGACAGATGCTGGACCACACCCATCAGGTCCAGATCACTCTGTTCGCCCCTCTGACCTTCCGTGTCCCTCTTGGGCCCCTCAGCAGGCATGTCCTCACAGTGCTGCCCCTGGTATGGTGGCACTTCTGCTTGACCCAGCCATCTCAACACCATTTATTCAATATCTCTGCCCCCACCACTGTGTACAAGGGCTTCTTTATCATGTATGAAAGTTCTTATCCATAGCAGGGTTTACTTTTGGACTCTCTGCTCTATTCCACTGATCAATTTGCAAATTTTGGTGTCAGATACCTTTTTTTCTTTTTTCTTTGGGAGACAGAGTCTCACTGTATCCGCCAGGCTGGAGTGCAGTGGCATGATCTCGGCTCACTGCAACCTCCGCCTCCCGGGTTAAAGCCATTCTCATGCCTCAGCCTTCGGAGTAGCTGGGACTAGAGGTGTATGCTGCCACGCCCAGCTAATTTTTGGTATTTTTAGTAGAGGCAGGGCTTCGCCATGGTGGCCACGCTGGTCTCAAACTCCTGACCTCACGTGATCTGCCCACCTCGGCCTCCCAAAGTGCTGGGGTTATAGGTGTGAGCCACAGCTCCTGGCCCAGGTATCTCTTTATGTTAATTTTATTTGGGCTTTATAAAAGGCTGAGTCTGCCTGGCTTAGATCCACTTTATTTTTCCCCCCAGAATATTCACTTATATATCCCTGTTTATTTTTTCAGACAAATTATAGAATACTTCAGTCAAGTTTCAAAAACCTCCTATTTCGATTAAAACTGGATCAAAGTTTTAATCTAATTGGGGAAAAACCTGATATCTATATGATAATTTTTCTTGCCATAAATACAGAATGTCATTCCGTTTACACAAATCATCTTTTATAGTTGAACCATTATTGTTTTATTCATATGTGTCATCTATATTTGTCTTTTAGTTTTCCAGATAAAACATACACACCATTGTAAATGGAATCTCTTTTAAAAGATTCTATATCTATATATTTGCCCATTTAGCAATGGTGTATAGAATTTCTGTGGTGTTAGTATATTTTCTATATTTAGCCATTTCCTTGAATTATTTGATTCTCAGATTTTTTTTTCTTTTTTTTTTTAGTTGATTCCTCTGGACGTCCTATGTATATAAGTATACCATGTGAGGCCGGGCGCGGTGGCTCAAGCCTGTAATCCCAGCACTTTGGGAGGCCGAGGCGGGTGGATCACGAGGTCAAGAGATCGAGATCATCCTGGTCAACATGGTGAAACCCCATCTCTACTAAAAATACAAAAAAAAATTAGCTGGGCATGGTGGTGCGTGCCTGTAATCCCAGCTACTCAGGAGGCTGAGGCAGAAGAATTGCCTGAACCCAGGAGGCAGAGGTTGCGGTGAGCCGAGATTGCGCCATTGTACTCCAGCCTGGGTAACATGAGTGAAACTCCGTCTCAAAAAAATAAAAAATAAAAAAATAAGTATACCATGTGAAATTAATAAGTCTCTCTCTTCCTTTCCAATATTAACCTTCCTTATTTCTATTTCTTTTTCAAACCTTAGTACCAGGGCTAAAATTTCCACATAGATGTTGAATAATAATGACAACAGCAGGCCCCCTTCTTTTTACCGAGAATGACTTTAGTTTAGGTGTAAACAGTGGGTATCAGTTTGGGCTGATTGGTGAAGAATGTGAAATTCACAATCAGTGGGGAGGGAGGGGCAGAGTGTGCAGCCTGTGCAGAGGCCTGGAGGAGGGACAGAGCACCAGGTGTATTGGACGGTGTGAGAACAGGCTGTGGGTTGCACAGTCTCTTTCCCCAGAAGCACAGAAAACTGAACACACTTCAGGTGCCCCCCACCCCTCTGCCCACTGGCTGCTTGGGGCGAGGAGAGGCAAGGTGGTACCTGTCCACTGTTGCTCGATGGCATAGACATGCGCCTCCGTGAACTCCCAGGAATATGCCAGCTTCTTCCACTCATGAGGCTGCAGAAATCTAGAGGCCAGCTGCCACAGCACAGAGCGGAGCTGCTGTGTTTCCTGCCGATGGTCCTGTTTAAAGGACAAGCTCTTCCCAGAGGGGTCACTGGAGTCGTTGCATGAAAGGTGGTCCTGTGGGACAGATCCCAAAAGTGCAGAAGCCGTCCCTCATGATCCTGGACAGAGGCAATGCAGAGCCAAGGCCCTATGACCTTCCTACCACCTCTGCTGGCCTAGGAGCTGGAGTCAGCAAGGGCTGGAGACTTAACATCCTCTCTCCTGGTTTCTCGCTCCATGCTCTGCCTTGATCTCTGGAACCCAAGTTGCTGCCACTGTTCTTCCTCCCGGAATTCCTCTGCTCACCTTCCTGACTCTCAACCTCACTGTCATGGTCAAAAGACACACACCCAAGTGCCACTTCCAGGGAGCCTTTCCAAATTCCTCCAGTCAGGTGCCTCTCTTTCCTGTGTTTTGTTTGTTTGTTTTTGAGATGGAGTTTCGCTCTTATTGCCTGGGCTAGAGTACAGTGGCCTGATCTCAGCTAACTGCAACCTCTGCCTCCCGGGTTCAAGTGATTCTCCTGCCCCAGCCTAGTAGCTGGGATTACAGGAACCTACACCTACACCATGACCGGGTCATTTTTGTGTGTGTGTGTATTTTT